TCATTTAGCGACTTCTAGCGACTTTTAGGACAGCCAATAGCGATTTTCCTTACTGAGGAGTTGGCAACACTGGTTGGAACTCTGACTGAAGCCTGATGCTACCAAAATAACTCAACACCCTTTGTTTATATCTAGAAGTAATGCAAGTGCATTCTTCTATAAGCCAAAGCTGGAGGTAATTCGGTAGAGTTCAGGTTGAACGTGTTGCACGTCTAACTTTCATGCAAGAGACAAGAATTTACAACTCTTCTCAAACGTGCAGTTGCTGTAATTTAAGCACTCAACAATGTGTTTTGATCGTTTTTGCTTCTGTTAGATGTTGGAGCTTCACTGTGCCGAATACGTTCAGAGTGTGACACTTCAGTTCATCTGCTGAAAGAAGAAAGTTTCGCAGCGCTTAACTTGAATTTCGGTTAAAGCCATTTTGCCTGGCAGGATGTTCAGCCATGACAAAAAGGAGCAAAACGTTTATTTGAGTTGAAAGACGTGAAATGAAGATTCATGCTATGGCAGCTGTGCTCTGCCTTTTAATGTAGCTGGGTTTATACACACATTTCTGCTGATTGTGTAACATCTGTGACACACCCACCAATATGTTTCTAGAAAATGTGTAATTCAACCTGGAAACATGCTGTTTTCAAATTGAACATACCCGAAGATTTGTGATATCTTAACTATTTTTGATGCTAATCCTGGTCCAATAGCTGACTGGTATGATGTGTGAACCTGAGCAAAACTAAAAGATGATCCTGCAGTGATATAGAAGAGATGCAGTCCAGCTGTAGAATTAAAACCTTCACGCTGTTTGCGCATATTAAATGTTAATTAAAAGAAAACAAAGAAGAAAAATCATTTTACAGGGTTGAACACTTATCTAAACCTTATGCTCTTCGTTTCACGAACAGTCTTGATTATGAAACCACACCATAGATATGACACAGTAAACATGATACAAAGGTTTAGTGTATTACATGTAAAGTTCTTTATTATTAAGAAGATGCGAAGGAAATCAAGGGTGCGATGTTGAATGATGTAAGTGCACATGCCTCACAGGTTGGATGTCCAAGAAATGCTGACGTTTGTTGGGTGAAGTGGTAGAGAGTGTTCCCGGGGGGTGGAGAGAACAAGCTTCAGTGCACATGTAGGTTAAGAGAACAGAGGTGATGAAGAGGAGGTGTTACATAGGTATGAAGTTAAGGAGAGAAATGCGGATGGACAGATGGTAGTGGATTTGCTCTAAAGGAAGGCAAAAGCATGGAAGCATGTATTGATCACATACTTCATCTTAAATTATGTGGTGGACACATTGTTTAAGAAGAGTAAGGAACGTAGAGTATAAGTGTGGACAAAGGTGCAAACAGTTATCTTATGCACAAAGTTGAACCTGAACGAGAAGAGTCTGCAAGGTGGTGGCAGGGGAGAGTGTGTCTGCATGGATGGTAGTCTGTAGGATGACTTTGGACTTCAATACAGGAACCAAGTGAAGGCATATGCATGGCTGCATATTACCAGTGCTTGTCTTAAGACAAAGACCAAAGTAGATCCTGTGTGCTATCTGCTACTATCTTCCTGTGTGAGGGAGTAAAAAAGAGATGAGTGCTTGTTTTTAGTATTTCATTTCTGTTCATTGTGTGTTCTCCAGCTCTTGTGGAACCGTGGGAAGCAAACTGTTTCAAAGTGAAGGAAGGTTTGATTGGACAGATTGTGAAGTCTTCTCAGATTGAGCAACAGCTCACAGAGCATTGTGTGTGACTGTCAGAGCCAGCAGGAAACCTTTAGACAGACCTTTAATTATCCGCTGATGAACAGAGGCTGTATTTGTAATTAGAGAAAGAAAATGTTAATGCATTCTGTGGAGGATAATGGCATCACGCTGCCCAGGCATAAATCTCCACTCTGTGACTTTGCTAATCTCACGAGGCAACACAACCACACTGATTACCGTTAGTGTGTCCACACTGCAGAATACCTTCCCGGCATTAACTGTCACCAACAGAAAGCAGAAAATGATGCTGCACTCATCCACGCAGAGAGACCGCTGCATTCTGTAGAAAACCTTTAATATCAAACAGGAAAACTGTTACATTGTGTTTATCACTGGTGCTGCTCTCATAGACTGAATTATGATGGTGTTTCTGTTTCACATTAATGTAGCCTGACATCAGGTTTCAATGGGGTGTTATTTTCCATTTATCAAAGCAGTAGTATTGAGTGAAGTATCTCTGCAGCCAGTGTCGTTTTCAGTTTCTGGTGAAGTCATGGTTGCTAGAAGCAGTTAACATTTCTCATGCCAAACAATATGTCAGTGTGCAAGTGTGTCCATTTCATCCATGCCTGTCAGTATTGTGGCAATTTCTCTGCTGCTGT